CTTCCCTGGTCCCTAAGACACAATAGTTATTTCCAGATAAAGAATTAAAAAAAAAACTTTTATCAGGGACATGTTCACGGTGTTTTTATTAGGATTTAGATAAACATGAGCGCATTTGCCTTGCATTGCATTTCTTCGTATCATTGGTCACCAGTTGTTAAACCAAGGTATTTTTTTATCCTTAGGGCCATATTACCTTTTAGATCTCCAGCGGTGTGCCAGATGGAGTGACATGGAAAGCTTTCAGTTCTCTGTGGCCACAGTGTGTTATGGTATCATTTTCAGTGGGACTGTGTTCTTCTGGCTTTGTCCTCCACACCTATGTCAACATTTGACCTTATGGTCTGGTTTGCAAGCTGGAGACATACACACACTCACACAGACTAACATAAACAAACACCTAGACCACACACACTGGACCACATTGAAATGTTGGACAAATTTGCATACATAGAAGAAGATTGTACATCCACAGTATATAGATTATTCATCGCTTGCAATGTCAGAAAAAACTAGCTGTATGAAGCATCTCATTTAATTTGAGTGAATTTATCCGTGTCTCTCTGTCCAGAAAGTTAAGTGTTATAAGACATATATTGAATATTGTTAGAGGCTGAAACTACTGCTGTGAGCAGTTTGCTTATTTTAGTGTTGTTTCAGTTCGGCAACAAAAATGTGGTAGTGGGTTGTGCATCACAGACAAACAGTCTGACCTCCCACATCTTTGCAGTGGCTGGCAGCAGTGTGCAGACTGACCTTTAACTTTATCTCTGTTTCCCAGGAGAGGAGCCCAAGCTCAAGAAAATAAGAAAAAAAAGCACTTCTTGTCCATTGCTGTGTTTTAACGTTGATCACTTACAGAAATATTTCTTTCTGTCTGTCACTGATATGTAGATATTTGTATCTTGCTTCACTGCATTTTCATATTTATACCTCTGTTTAGTGTACAATACTTCTTATGACTTCCATAGAGTAATGTTAAATATTTGGTGATGTGTTTACTGCAGTGGGTCTTCTCAGATAACCTTTGACTAAAGACAGTGAAAAAACACTACCTTTGGTATTTAAAAAAAGGAGGAGAATAAATAAACAGCAGCTGAGTTCCATTTCTAAAGTTAATCCTGTAAATAAAGGTTGTTCTTCCAGCACTTTAGATGTCTCTGTCTAGTGTCTTATTAGGGTAATACAATGTTGACATGTTGGTTAGGAAGATTTGTGAGTCCGTGTCTAAAACATCGAAGATAAAGTTCAGCATTATTATAGATTGAGAGAAAATCTAGGGGACAACATTCTTCAGCATAACATAACACAACATAAAAATATTAGATTACTCAACAGAGCCTTTATATTATCTGTTATCATGGAGCTGATGTATTGCGGGAGCCTTTCCTCTAGAGTGTAAGTCAAGGAGGAGTTTGATCTTTTCTCAAACTTCCCTTCTGTCTTTACTTGCTGTCAGTTATCTGGGCTTTGAATGATGTTTTCAAACTCTTCTTTTTCCACATCACAATCAATAATATGCACGTACAATTGTTTGAACTGATGATCTTGGAATCTGCAGTTGTTAAAGATCAACTCTTGTAAGCTTCTGGAATCGCCTACCAAAGCCCCGACTGTATGTTTATTGAAAATGTGTGTACTAGGCTTAAAGACTGGGCCAATGCCAGGAAACAAACCCATTTAACTGAAGTTTACTAATTCTGCCAAGAATAGTGATCAAACATCCAGCCAGAATTATGCCAGAAACTTGTTGATGGCTACCAAAAGCATTGAAAATGTATCCTGTACATTCATTCTACCCTGAAAAAGGAACCAATAAATCATGAAAAGCCCCAAATTACCATGACATTTATTCCCATGATGCCCATTAGTGTAAAATTTTGACCACGTCTGCATGTACCTTGTCATACTATACAAGTTGGTACATCGTCACAGTGGCTCTTTATCACTTCCCTCTGTTAACATTCACATTTTGCAGAAAAATTCCCATTCTTACTCTATCTACACACATCTCACTGTTTGATCTTAACAGTGGACTTTAACTTGCACAATAACTGAATCACAGCTATGTCAACTTGTTGATAAATTCTAATGCTCACACAAGTTCCCCCTGCTAGAAGAGGCTGCACTGGATCACCGGTGTTGCTCCACTTTTTTATGAGTTCTTGGGAATAGTATCCGGGTGGTCTTCTCTGAGTCCTGATTCCATTTGTTGTGATCAGCCTGAGCACTGTCGACATGGACGCTGACGAAGCTGAACTTAAGCATTACAGTTTCACTCCCAAAACTTGTGCAAGTTAAATAATTATCACTGTATAATAAATGTATTGCCAAATGATATTAAAAGAGCTCCTTGTGTGTGACAGTCACCAGTAATACAGAATACAAGTGTAAAGTTGAACAAGATTTTGAAATCTAATCATTTAATAATGCTTTAATTTAATAGTGCAGTCACAGAACCAGATGGTTTGACAGTGCTTGAGTTTATGCCAGCCATCGCAGCACAAGAGGGAGGGTCCACCCTGGAGAACTGTCGTCAGGCCATCGCAGGCAGAAAACAGCTGTGCGTTAACATGGTCTGGAAATCAGCATCTACCAGACCATGCAGACACCAGAGGAGAGCAGTGTGCCAAGTGTAAACTGGCAAAGCTTATAACAATCCAAACAAATTACCAAATAAGACGCAGGCGGGGTAAATGGAACTCCATGCCTACACTCAGCTGGCTTACATGGCTTGATTACTGCTGCCACGGATTTTTTGGTAGTCATCAATCTCCCTGTAGTCTTTTCCATATTTGTGAAGTTTTGCACACTGATGGAGCCTTGATATGGATGTACAGAGACAAACACCCTTCCAAGTCCAAGGCCCAAAACTGAGAAAAATGTAGTGTTTTGGGGCCATTTTATGTCAGTGTTATGTTAGACTATATGAAGCATAATTTTGCATAACATTAAATGATGTTCTGTTTGTCTTTGAATAAGGAAATATTCTACTGTTGTTATTGATAGGCGATACACGCTGGAGCCGATTTATATTTAAGTGATATTTCACTGGGGTGTACTCACTGATGTTCCTGTCATGTTTAATGTATAACGTCTGTGTTTTGGTCATTTTATGAAAGGGCCTCTGCTTTGATGTTGTACTTCCTGCTTTAAAAAGTAGTCCAGAGGGTTTGACTACAAAGTGAGATGGGTCAGCGAGGAAAGTTGAGTACACTCTTGTTTGCATGCATTCATGTTCAGATGGTCAAGCAGAAAATGTAAGAGTTTTAGTGTTTAGTCATAAACAGCTGCAGTTTTTTTTTTACACTGCTGGAATTACAGCTACTAGGTCACGGATCGGAAAACTGATCAGTTTCATTTGTAAGCAATTTACCACCCAGAATTAAATCAAGCAACAGAATTCATTTCACTTTGGTTTGGCAACAAACTAAAGCAATTCCTACGTGTTCTTGGAACATGTAACAATGGGACAGAGTCAAAGCTCATCACACTGCGTGCTATTAAGCGTTTATTATTATTATTATTATAAATCAATGTTTTTCTGCCGCATTAGGCCTGGTTGCTCGCCTTATTTGCAGCACCAGTCAAACAATGCGTTATAATTAATGTGAGTGCACATGGAGCCTAACAAAGAAACTCCAGGTTAGCAAAGAAAGCTGATAACTACCATCTTGATGGCACTTTCTTCTGACTGGGATCTTAGGTTTTCTCAAGCTAGCCGAACATGCTTTGTAGAACACGCCTAGTTTGCCCTGTTCCTATAAAATGTCTTTGTTATTGTCAGAGTTTTGTAACAGCCATTAACAGTTAGTGTTCAAGGCCCTAAGAGACCACATTCAACCACTACTGAACACAGAGTACAGCTGGTGCTGATGGGAGTGTGAAATACTTCCATGGAAGAAGAGAAAAGAGAAGACGGAAAGTTTTGAAACTGAACGAAAGGCACCAGGGCACAGTAGTGCTTAGGATATAAAACTGGGGGCAATATGAAGCCACTGTCTGCTCAGTAACACATGTTCAGGTTCAACAGAAAAGGAGAAAACAGGTGTGTAGCCTGCCAGGACAGAATCAGCCCAGGACAAAAATGACAAGTATTTTATGAGAGCTTTTGAAGATGGTGGCTTTATTGCAGTGGGTCTGCGACCTCACGCAGCTAAGTGAAGATTTAACACCTCATTACCTTCTGGTTTTTCAGTTCTTTATGAGGAGTACTTATGTGTTGGTGTGTAAATGGAAACATCTCCAAGGTAACAAGCAAAGATAATACAGCTATATGATATGAACCGTATTAAACATGATTTCTATTGTTAATTAGGATAACATTTTCCTCTTTAAAAAAACGACACATCACCTAAAAGTTAGAATTTCTCGATTTCTTTGCTCACTGCTTTTTGCCTCAGCCCTGGCCTGTGACTAAGAGCCAAGATGCAATCCAAATGAGGAATGTTTTATTACATATGAAGCCTGCCTGCGATTCCAAAGACTCACCGACAAAAACCAACAGAGAGGAAACTTTGCTCTCCCCTCGCATACTTTGCAGGTGACCAGTGAATTCATCTTCTGTTTCTCCCAGACAGAAGGACACTCCTCATCACCTGAAAAAAACTCTCCTGCTTCAGAGAAAATCTTATGTAATATTTGTGGTACGTTGTACTGTAGACTCATTGTAATGATAGAAGTGTGAAGCTTACTCATTTTTCACAGTGAACTGATTCTGGAAGCTAGTGATGGATCATTTTCGTAGTCATGATTTTGATGCCAGATGCGACTTTCTCAGGTCACTCCTAACTTCTAGCAGAGGATCCCCAGGTACTTCAGAGGTAGTTGTAAACCTGTCCTGTTTGTTGGTTGCCCTCAAAGGGAGGCAAGTGGAAGTTACTTCTCAGTGCAGAGGAAGAAAGACTGAGTCTATCTTCTCCAATGCCTTGCAAACCAAACTTTGTCTTGCTGTCTCATTTCACTTTCTGTCGCTGAGCTTCTTTTCCTCCTTGTTTCAGGTGTACTTGGGCTCTGTGGAGCTCCAGCCATCTCCAGACCCTCTGGAGCTGACCTGTGAGATGATTGGACAGTCCCTAAAGCGCAGCACAGATCTGGAGACAGAAAACTCGCGATTGTTGGAGCAAAACTGTAAATTGAAGCAGGATCACCAGCGAATACTCGGACAGTAAGGATAATGAGAGAAATAATTCAACAGAATCTCATAATTTTCTTAAGATGTTCTGGGCTGGTATTTATTGTTGATTGCTTCGTCTGCATGCACACTCCTTTTTCTCTTTAAGTTGCCAGCTTGTTTATATCCACAAAAATCACCCAGTATGACATCATCACTGGTCGCCCATCTGAGAATATTGTGGGATCCACCCATTATTGCGAGCTGGGTTTGTAATTTCTCGGAAATTACTTCAAGTGATTCACATGTCTTCAATTTTATTAATGCCTGGCATGTAAAATTAAAATAAAATGTGCTGTTGTTTATTCGCTTGTTGATTTCTCTCCAGAGTACAGCATGAGGTTCACACAGGACTTTTGGGATTAGCGTCATTCACCTTTGCAAATTACTATCAGATAGCCGACAAGAGCATGAAACCTCCACGCAGAATATTGTTGTCATATGAATGTGTTTTTCTCACCAGGCTCAAGCATCAGGTTCAGAAAAAGGAAGCGTTAGAGAGGGAAATGTACTCACGTTTTGTCATGGTGCTGAACGAGAAGAAGGCCAAGATCAGAGGTCTGCAGGAGGCTGTCAAAAGGCTTCGAAACTCGGACGACCATCCGAGCGACGAGGAGGGTGTACAAAGGTCTGCTTCGAGTGCTGTTATAGTGTTATCTGCCTTAAAAGTCCAATTTAAGGACAGAAACAACTGAATGTTGTATGTTATGTCCATAGAAGGGTTTTACCTGTGTATCAACTAATGTCCTAAAATGCACATTTGAATAGAGGCAACTAAAAAGCTATTCGTAGAATTTTGACGATTGGTTTTGAATAAGCCACAGTTCATTTAACTTTTAATCTAAGATGGACAAAAACAGACATCCTTTTTTAAATTTCAGAAACCAGTATCATCAGGTGATTGTTTAAAATAATAATCATTCATTCTAAAACAAAATGTTAATTTTCTATTGATTGACAGGTTTTTGTACATTCAGTCAATTTCTGTAGTTACACGTTAACCAGTAACAAGTAGGTCCTAGTCTGGTAATGTCCAGTAAAGTTTTCAGTCAGTTTAAAATGATTTCACCCTTTGATTTTCAGTGGAGCAGCCTTCACCTGAAAGGGGTACTCTCCCTGTGCGCTGTGTTGTAAATACGTGGAATTATGTATTTAGATTTTGGCCAAACATAGAATCAATCAAAACGTTCCTGTCTTTTGTTTTACATCCACATTGCAAGTTTTGTTTTCTAAGAAACTCAACAAAATGCTGTCAGAGCCACATGTGTGCTTGCCACACCTCTGGCTTTGGCTGACTTGTTTTTAGTCAGGCTTGTTAAATTGCTTTCATCATTACAGGCCACTACAGGGTGCAGAGCATGGAAGATTTTACTCATAGTTTCTGCTCACACTGTCCTTTGTGGTCAGTAATATTTAACAGTGAAAGACGAGTACTCAAAAGCAGAGTAAAATGAGATACTCTGCTGTAGTTTCTAAAGCATATCCACTTGTCTGACTCAGGATTCAGTTTGTGGGCGTTACAGGAAACACTTCGTCTTCTGTAATTTCTTTCAGTGACAATCTCACAACTCAAGGTGAAGGCAGTCCGGACAGAGGAGAGGAGACCAGTCAGAGCATCCAACCCTCTCTGGAGCCAACTATCCTCATTACAGGTGTGTGTGTCTGTGTTTATGGGTGTGTTTGCTTGTGTCAGAGGGAACAACAGTCCCAATCAAAAGTGGTTTCCCCGAGGATGAGACTGCTGTACGCTCAACCTCTGAGTGACCAGTTATTCGCCACAACTACTGACACAGAATGCATAAAAATGTAATACAGTCACCAGACAACCACCAACCTTTCCTACTCACAGGGAGGTTAATGGGGTATGTAACAACATGGGGGAATGATCCATAGCCCAAATCCATCTTGCCCAATGCAATGGTTTTTCAGTATTCCAACAAGTATAAACAAGCTGTTTCAGCTTTTCTCAAAACAACCTTGTGTTCCAGTAGCTGCTCAAAAACACATGCAGCATGTCTTGGAGCAGGTTGTGCAAGTATTGAACATGGCAAATTTACACCCTTTCCCAGTATTCTGACGTAATAGGTCACGATCTTATTTTCTAATGATGCGGACCAAAGTGAAGCCCTTGAGTTTTCGCTTTCCTCTCGCCGATTTTACTGTCCAATAAAGTTGACAGTTGAATGTAAGTGAGTACGTAAGCAAGGGGGTGAGGGGTTGAACATAAACTTAAAAGCACACATAAGCAGAGCGCATACCTTCTGGTCGAAGGGTTCTGGGAAACACTTGAGTCATAAACCCACACAAGTCTGTTGAGATTGCTTCAGCACTGCTGGCCATTAGGTGGTCTTCACCTTCCTGCGTCTCGCAGTGCTGGAGTAACGTCACATCTGAGTCATACCCCCCTGTACTGTAGTGCTGCAATCTACTGAGAAAACCTAGATCACTGTATCAATGGTTTTGTTTGTGGTTGCAGCCAAACTCAAACCACCCCGAGAGAATACAGTTGAAAAACACATTGATGTCGTTCAGCAGATTGTGTTGCTTGGCTCTTATTTTCTGTGCTCTCAATCGCAAACACATGCACATGCACCCTCTGCTCTGTGCTCTGTGTCCCGTCTTGGCTTCAGTGAAGATGGATGGAGGAGGTAGATTAGCCCGTGTGGGGCTTGGCTCACACAGTCGGTTGTTTGCGGCCCAAAAGAGTCTTATAATGCTTTCTTGTATTTTCAGCTTGTCAGTGACATCTCCAGGCTTTTACCTACATATGAATCTGTCTCTATTCTCAGCATTTTAACATTATGGGTGTGTTTCCAAAGTCTTTGGGCGTTTTTTTTCTTGGCCGAAAGCACAGTGGTGGAAAAAAGCCGTATGCTCGTGTCACTCTCTGCTAGCATTAGATTCGTAACCACAACAACCGATTAATTCATAGACACCTTTACGCCGATCCATGAACATGAAACATACACATAATGAAACACCTCACTGATATTACTCCAGGTGAGTCCACACACACGTGGCATCAGATCAAACATTTCCCCTGTTGACCTCTGTGCCTCAGGCTGTGTTTCCATGTTGAGCAGAGCTGGAGGCTCTCTTTGACCTCGAGTTTTAGCATCTGACACCATAGGAAGAATCGCTCACAATGAGATAACTTGAAGATAAGAGCGATAGAGACAGTAGGAGAATAAAGGGACGTTAAAGAAAAGCATGTCACCTGAGGGGCACACATGTGACTCCTGTGAGGGAAAGGAATAATGGGTCTCTAATACCAGCCTCCACACCTCCTTCATTAAGGTAACTGTAAATACTGAATCTGCAGTAACATTACCATTACACTACTGAGTTTTAGCTCTTAATCAGTTCAGCCCAAGTATGTCTTTGTTCTTACGTGGTGCCTCAATCTGTCGATCTTTGCGTTTGAATGGGCTAGCAGCAGTGTTGAAGGGCAAACAGGTGTGTTTTTCCTTCTGTATATAAACTATTGTAGCGTGACCAAGATTGTTAGGAATGCCAGATCTTAATTACCGATAAAGATCACACCTCTGAAGGTGTGGAGTCCTCTGGGGTTAACAGTGGTAATCTGGGGTAATTTGCCCTGGAACTGCCAAAAATGCACCAAAAGTGACACTGACAGAGTATGAGTGTAAGTCATAAAGCTGAAGAATTTAGGCTTTTGCAATGTAGCCACCCATGTAATTCTAAAAAGAAATGAAATTAGACTCTAATAGCCTGTATGTTTCTCTGTACGTGAAGTATCAACAGTTTGTGCTCTTTGCAGGACGTAATCTGGTCTGGGAAGGGATCCCCGTTGACCGGACTTTTTCTGATGATGATGAAGATGAGCAACCAAAATGGAAGCGTAGGTTGCTTCACACCTCGAGCCCACGATCTTCTGAACAACTTTAAATTGTAGGTTTGTCAGAGAAATAATGCAGTTAATGGAGCAGCATATTTTATACCATAGTTGCTTAAAGTTAATTTTGTGTGGAACCGCTCTTTACATATAGTTGTAGTAAAAGGGAAAAAAAAAGTGTAATTGTAAGAATTTGGATCTTAAATTTTAAGAAAATGTGCAGTTATATGTTGCAGATTTTCAAGTAGTACCATGTAAAGATGGTGCCAACATGACACACAATGTCTCCGGTCCTGTGTTGGTTAATAAAAAAGTTGTTCCATGTGACCCCAAATCAAAGTTTAACATAGATGCATGGAAATCATTTCAGGATTAAAGTTTTATTGCACTTTGAAACCTCTTAGCCTCAAGTTTTATTCAGCAGTTTTTTCCCCCCATTTGTAGGTTCTGTAAAACCACTACAGTGACAGATGTGGGTCGATCTACTGATTTTTTTTTATTCCCCGTTATTTCCATTTCACCCAATTAAGGAGGATTAAATCATCGTCTTGTCGTCATCATCTGTTTAAAAAAAAAAAAAACACTTATGTGTAATTCCCAGCATCTAACTGTCTGTCTACTGAGGCCTGAACATTTTTTAGATGAAATATGTATTCTTATATTGCTGGTTATATTAATCCACAGAGGTATAAAGGAGTCCAGCCACTGACAGCAGCGGTCTTAGAAGTGGCCCTGGGCCACACATGCTATAGAGTAGCTGCTGTCTCCACCTAATAAATAGGATTAATTAAGAGGCATCATTTTATTTGCACTCATCAGTTGTGGAAAATGATTTTTAATGGTTTTTAACATTGTCTCTAAACATTTGAAAAAGTGAAATCTAGCATATCTTTTGTGGTTTCTCTGGCTGATGTGCTGCAGTAGAAAGAGCTGAGGTTGTTGGACTGCTGCCTATAAAGAGGCTCAGATTTATATTACATCCTGTATGCTACTAATGTAAAACAGCAGTGAGAAAAGCAACCTTCTCCAGACTTTGTCCACAGTGAGAAGAGGTGCAGATAAGTGAAATAAAATGTCACCTGATTACTGTTGGTGTTTTGGATTGCGTTGTCACAATAACATCAACTTCTCTGTGTTTTTATAAATCATAAAATATAGTTAATTTAATATATGATGCCTCTGTGGTAGCAGCACTTCTTTAACTCTACAAACATTAATAGTATCTGACAACTGCTTATATTTGTGTGTTGGCTAGCATTTGAGCTTCATGCTTCACTCCTCCTCCTCTCACTTGTTGGGTTGAATATAAAGTTAATGTATTTCATTCTGCGTCATCACACTATATCGAACTGTATTTCTCTAGTACAGCTAAATATTACACGGAAAGCTATAAAATATAAATGTGATGCATGTTTTACTGGTTCAAACAATATTTGCTTCTTTTTCTCCATCTCTTGTTCTCAGCCTCCTTTTCAAGAAATAGATGGCGCCCGGGACTATTCACGAACATTTTAATGAGCAGGTTTTCTCTGCTTGCTATCTTGCTATGTGGCAGGCTAGTTCCAGCCACACACGACCAAAACAGCGACAGCCGGGCAGCAGTGTCCTGGAAGTGTCTCCAGATTATGATGCAAGGGTCTCTCCTAGATTGTGAAAGTGAATTCAGAAAGCCAGAGCACATCACAGCATCTGGATTGCTTTAACTGTGACAATTACCTACCACATCTCCTAAGAGACTAGTTGCTTTACAGTAAAGGGGTGAAAAGCAGTTACTGATACAATCATTTCCCAAATTCTCTCCATTCTGTGTTGCTGTAAAGATTTTTCCCAGATGTGTCAGTGGCCATGCGATAACAGCCACTTAACACTGTCTGGGACTATGTCAGGAACTAAAAGTGTTTCTGCTAATAAGCTGAAGAACTCGGTAGAGAATCTGGAGCACGACTACGGAAGCAATTTACGAAGAGTCTCACTTTTCCCTTAGCTTGAATTTGACTCCAGCTGTAGTCAGATCTCAGCTCAGTGTGAGAGTGAAGAAAAAGGGGGTCAACATGCTACACTCAGAAAAAAAGGGTGTCACAACCAGGGAACTATAACTGCTTTCTTAATGCTTAATGTCCTGCTGATGTTTTCCTCCCTCTTTCTATTATGAAAACAAACTCGAAACCGTCTCTTTCATTTTAACTTTCAAAACTAGCATTTTGCAAAAGATAATTTGGCCCTTAATCTTTTTTTCCCTCTTTTTCACGCAGCCTTTTATTGTGTAGATCAGGGGTGTCAAACTCAAATACACAGTGGGCCAAAATTCAAAACTGGAACAAGGTCGCGGGCTAACATTAATATTTATTGAAAAAAAATCTTCCTCCAGATTTAAGAATGAATCTCTTCTTATGGACTCAAACAAGTTTTGCTGAAAAACTGAATATGGAACGAGCAAAGCTTAATACTAAACAATATATATATTAGCTGTATAATACCAGTAGGCCAGCTCTAATAATAATTTGGTATGGCTTCGCGGGCCAAATGTAATTAGGCCGCGGGCCAAATTTGGCCCGCGGGCCAGAGTTTGACACCTATGGTGTAGATATTATGTGGCCCAAACTACCTGAGGGTTGATTTTCAGGTTAATGAGGTTATGTTGTCTTTAAGCTTCTTCACTTGCCCGCATTGTCCTTAACATCTGCTATCAGCTTTAGGTTCTTAGTTCATCGCCGTGTGTTTTCAATGAGACAGTAATGAAGCTTTGGATTATTTGACCCTTTACATCTGAATCCTGGACCTTCTTGCTGCTGCTTTTGATGATACCTTTATGTCTGTTGAAAACCACAGGTGGCCACCGGGATTATCCCGCTATATGTTCTTGGTGGTTTTAGTAATCCCCACTGGAATGTCACACTGTCTGTTTACATCTCATCAATAAAGTATTCTGAAAGCAAAACAAAGAAGAGTATCAAAGGTTAATTTACAGATGAATGCATGACAACGTGCGATGGACAATGAGCTTACGCTGAAAAGGAGACAGTGCTGAATATTTAAGGGATTTCCTTTATTACAATGCGTACCGGTAGTTGTTTGATTCAAAATGCTCCAAAGCAAGATCTCGTTCTGTTTTTGGAATAAAAGCTGATAATTCGTTTTTAATTTGGTAAAACCTGCTGTAAATGTGCACATTTAATGTCTAAATATGTGTTTTTTTTTATTTGATTTTAAATATTTACTGTAATTTAAACACATAAAGGAGATTTATTTTTCAAATGTTAAAAATGTATGTAAAATACCTCTGAAGAAAATGTATGTTAACATCATTATTAAAAATTTTGCATTTCAACGTGGTTGTCTTTTTGTATTTTCTGACTTATATATCATTGAATAGGACACAAATAAGCATGTTTTATTTGATTGTGTGGTTAATACTTTATAACAGGGTTAGACAGTTTATTTTCCCAGTGAGCCACATGAATAACTGGGACTGTTGTTGTGAACTGAGCCCTCCACAACAGTCCCAGTGTCACGGTCAAACAGGCAGGACCCAAGTGCAGAACTGAATCGTACGATGAAAGGGAAGTTTATTTACATGTCGACACCAGGTCAGATATATACATATATACAGTGAAGAGAGTTAGAGGGGCTCCAGGGAAGTCCAGGCGAAGGGAAACACATCCAACACTCCTCTTCACACGATCAGTGATTCACTCATCCGAAGCTCACAACTCACTGTGGTCGACTCTCACTCACAGTTTCTCGACAGGGTCCGAAGGAAAACAGGAAGGGGTCCAGGAAGGTCTGTACACAGACAGCAAACACACGTTAGGAAACCAGGGAAACACATTCAGAGAAAACAGGAACCACAAAGAGAGCCGGGACTACACTAACTGAAGTAAAACGATCCAGCGAAGAACATCACCCAGGCGCCGCCTTAAGTAGTAGCAGGTTAATCAAGGATGATGGGCAGCTGGTGAGTCAATTTGCAACCAGGCGTGTTGGCCAAGGTCGAAACCTGGAACCAAGTAATGCCCAGGCGGGGAGGAGCCAGGAGACAAGGGAGAGAAACAAAAACGCGGACCAGCTTCTCATGTTGCCCCTTGGGAAAATTATTTGCACATTCCCGCTTTATAACTTTCTTTAATAAATTGATATAATTCAAATAGAATAATAAATGCTGCTTGTTATTTATCATTAGCTGGTTTCATAATAGGTTTGGTTTGGTCTATAAGGCTATTATAAAGTTAAAACTGATGATTGTATTATTTGTTTAAAGAGAGGATAAGCAGGCAGGTGGGTTGTCTGCACTGGTGTGTCTGTGGTCTAAATCATCATTTCACCAACAGGTTAGTTTGAGGTACTGAAGACGATTTTCTTAGATTTAGGCATCTAAAACTACCTGATTAGGTTTAGTCACCACCAATGGGTCAGTTTAGACACTTAAAGCACTTTTATTTGATTAAGGCATCTGACACAAATTACTTGGTTAAGTAAAGATTGTGGTTTGGACACTTTACATAGAAAAAAATATGCTTAAGTTTACCTGGCGTGTTTAAGTCTGATGAGAAGTGATTTGTCACAGTGTTAGGTGTGAGGACTGGTATCATGACACTTTGTTCAAATCACACAGATGACACAAACTTTAAAAAAAAAAGGCAGTATTTAACACCCTCAGAATGACGCCTGACTGATTAGTAATGAAACCTTTTCTTCAAAATGACAACAGTCATTAGCAAATGCATAGTATTACATGTTATCAGCTTTTTCCTTGTAATTTAATCTGGCAAGTCAAAACAGAAAATTTCTGCTTAACATTATCCCCGCCAGTGACGAACTTTTCCAGCAATCAGTGTTTTCACATCATGCGGTAGTGTTGAAAACATAACTTCCTGGTCGTTGGTCATGTATATATATATTCATAGAACAAAAATATTCTGGGAGGTCTTGAATAAGTTGGCAGGGAAAAGATAAAAAAAAAAACATGGAAAAAGTGATGTACAATCACTAATGAAAAATGAAGAACTCTATTAGAATACACGTCATACATGTGGTAGTAGTGGTACATGTATATATGTATAACTCACATATATAGCAGGGACATTAAAACTAGTTTAATTATGAGAGCAAAAAGGTTGATCTATGATGTTGCTAAACAGTGGTAAACACATAAACACATCAACTTCAGTGTGTAACAGAAGTTCATACTTAACAAATAATTTAGATGGATTCACAAACCAATCAGTTTTCATAGAATAACCAACCATACGATTACTGCAGGCTTTACTGCAGGCTAACTTGCTAATTTCTTCAATTCAATTTTGAAAAACAAAATATTATTAAGGAACCTTTTATCTTTAATATTATTTTTAGGGCTTGCTGAGATCAACCGACTTCTTGTTCAATGCATCGTTTTGTGTTACTGAAGGAATAACTTTTGAATTAAATTGTTTCAACTTCACGAGATTCTCACTATGTACATCAGTGGACTGGTGTTAAAAGGGTTAACACTGTTTGTGAGATAGAAACGATGGCCATGCAAGTCTGAAATGATGTCTTTAGTCACTTGCTTATCATCGTTATTCACTTAGAGTGCACCTGTAGAGTTCCCATTATCCAGGGAAGTGACAGGAGTTTCCCGCCACAAAGCTTCAGGGAGACAGAGTGGTCTTTGTCCGTCATCTGCCTGTGCTGGGCTCTCACTATTCACCATCCTACACTATAATATATGAAACAACTTCACACTACATAAGCATAAACTTACTATTATATCTAATTTGCAAAACGTTATCCCTGAATAAACTAAAAAAAAATAATGCTTACACTTTATTTATGATACAGACATGCTGCACCAGCTGATTCTTGCACAACCCCATTTCTGAAAAGGCAAGGATGCTGTGTAAAAATGTAACAATGTGTAAACCCTATAAACCCACATTTTATTTACAATAGATCACAGAAAACATATCACATGTTTAAACTGAGGCATTTTATTTTTTCATGAAAAATATTTGCTAATTTTGAAAACGGGCAGGATTCTGTCATGGAAATCACTGGATGGGCTCAGAAACACATCCAGATGTAATCGTGAACACAGTTCACTGTGATATACACAAATGTAAGATGATGATGCTCTATTAAACAAAAAATGGGGCCATGTGTGAACACAATCCAGAAACAGTGCCCTCTTAGTCTCCAGGCTAAAGAGGGACCATCCAACTTGTTTTCAGCGCTCAGTGCAAAAAGTTGCATCTCTGTTAGTGCCTATTGAAACGTACCATCAATGCTAAAAGATGTACAAAGATTTTAGAGCTGCATGCATCTACTCTAACAACATGACTTCATAATAGAAGAACTCTTTCACCAACTGGAAACATTTGGAGTATCATAAAATGGAAAAACTTAAATAAAGACGACCCGGGAGTGTTGTGCAGCTAGAATGCTATATTAGACGATATTGGGATAACGCTCCT